AGGGTCAGAGGAAAGCATCTCACAGTCTTGAAATGAGTCGAGAGCTGTGGTTTCCTCCGACAGATCCGGGCGGTAAGAGCTTCTTTATGTTCAAACACCCAAAGATACTTACAGAACAAAGGCGGCCTCACATAAAGAGGATCTCATAAATGATAAGCCACTTTTCCTGCAGGCAGTAAGACTCAAAATGGCTGAATAGAAATAACAGAAAATCCAGGATCAATTTCAGGATGGAGCTAGACTTTTGCAGCAAGCTCTGGATCCTTTGTCCTGATTTTCCCCGACTATATCTCTTCATCTCTTTCTACGAGTGTCAAATAGTTTATTAGTTCATTATGTACCAGATTTGAGCCGATCCATTTTCTCACTAACAATTGCAGGACAACCCAAACCTCCCTGCATCATTAACCTGGCATCAGAATCTATTTTACTTTGGGCTGCGGCTCCTATCGCTGCTTTATTTCTTCTCTAGTCAATAATGAATTAAGGTGGATCTGCCAACGTTGTAATTGAAATGACTGAACTGGCAGCTTACTGATCTGCCAAAATCTGATTTCTGGCTCATACAAAACTTTTCAGTTTCATTTCTCCTCAAAGGCTGCTAAGCTTTGGAAATCAGGGACTCTATAGAGAAGATAAGAACGTATATATAAATAAACAGGGTAGGTTTTCACTTGACTAAAAAAAGAAAAAGCTGATAAGTAGGATGACACAGTAAAGTACATACCACCATCAAGGCTGAAAGATCCATCACATTATGGTCTAGTTCTTATAGTGGAAATATTAAAGATAAAAGTAAATAGACTGATAATGTCAATGTTTATTTGTCTTTAAACAGTTAAAGTACAATAGAAAACCCTGGATCTGACCCTTAGTCTGGGTACTGCAATGACAAATATCTCCATTTGGCCCAAACAAGAGGAACTCCAGACAGGGTCACCTATAAAACTTTGTATTCTGAACATCTAAGCCATCAACAATATCACCATCCATACCACTCTACCCATGACTCAAGTCAATAATACAACAATGTACACTAGTAGTCAGAGTAGTGCATACTTCTGCGCAGGCCCAAGAGTCCCCCAAAATTCAATAAAGCCAAAAAATTGTACATGCTTAATTACATATCAGTCCCCCTTATTGCACTGTTAAAAAACAACGTATTGTCCAGATCAGGCCCAAATTCAAATTTTTTGTCCCATCCTACCACCGAGTATCGTGTAAATCCATTCAGTTCTTTTTGTGTAATCCTGCTTAAAAACAAAGTCCGTGACAACAAACAAATGGACAGGGGTGACAACATCACCCCCTTAGTGGAGGTAATAAAAACTTCCTGTTGTCTCATCTAAGTCATTTCATGTTCAAAATTGACAAATCACTTATTGTCTAATGAGACGTGTGAATCTCTGATGTGCCTCTGAGCATTTGCTCTGTTTGTGGTTACTGAGTATTTCCTCTGAACTGATCCACTCTCTCGGGTTGAGACTCACACTTTAAATCAAAATGAAAGTTATTTCTGTTCATTTCTTAAGAGTTATGGCGAGCAGTGTGTCCTCTGTCACGCCATCATCAGGCCACTATTGTAGCCCTGCTGACTCCTCGACCAAAGTACCTAATGCAGTGCAACGTTCCACTACATTAATTCACAGCTTCCACACCCACTGAAAAGCATTTGATTAGTCACCCCAGCACAGCAACAGGAACATAAATACTTCATCCGTGCAAATGACAAATGAGGCAATCAAGTCCAGGCCAGCATTCAAAGAGAAACTATTCAAATCCCCTCTAAATTAATTTTCTGCCTTTTTGTTGCAGTGGACTTCAAATTTTAATGCTGAATTCATTGGATGATGGTGATGATGCTTCTAGCCCGACTTCCACAGGCAAACTAAGCCATTTGCTTTCAGAAAATATTTTCAAAATATGTGAATAAATGGATTTAACTGGCAGAAAAAGTTCTTTATTTTTCTAGCTCAGCAGTAAAAGCCAAAGAATAGCACTTTGCAAAAAGAGACCAGAAAAGAGTGATTGTGGGCTGGACTCATTTTATATTCCATTTGACAGCAGAAACTCTACTATCCATCAAAACCCCTCTGGGTGAGCCAAGCTTTTCTACGTGGGATGAGTTCGCACTTGACTTTGACCTCTGAGACTCAAAGGACAAAGAAATCTGAAGCATGATATGGCCACAATTATTTTATCTGTCTATTGTTGCCTGTGTGATGGTAGAGAGTCTGAAAGTTCAATCCACTGATCAGATGAGTTGAATTAAGCAGAGACCAGGGTTGGTTTATCGAACGAGTGCAGTATAAAATGTGCTTATTGATCCCCAAAGCCTTTAAAACTTCTTTCTGTGTGTAATCAGGTTTAGTCTTCAAGATCTGCAAGTAACTTTATATAAAAAAAATAAAACTCAAAGAAACAAAGACAGAAACAAATCATACCGATGAAACATCATTTCATCTGATGCCCCCAAAAGCAGAACAGCAACATTTCCCTGTGACTGACATCACAAACATCTCATCACATCCTTTTTCGATGATGTCTGTGTTGCAGTTTTGTTGAATGGGTGACTCTGTCTAATGAAGACAGTGGGCAGAGAAAAAAGCTTATATTGACGATGTGTTTGCTTCTTAGTTTAACAGATCTGGGTATTTTGCTACATGAGGAACATATCCATCAAAATTCAACCCCTCCCTGACTACCATAGAGTGTCAATAATTCTCCTCTACAATGTATGGGCTGAACGACAGTCACCCTTTCAAACCAACAGGAAACAATACAATACATGAACCGGATTGTAACGTCAGACGGGAATCAAACAGTGACTTTGAAATGTTGCTGACTATTAAACTTTCAAACTTTACACAATATGTATTTCACTTGGGAGCAACCCATTCATTTCCTTTGTGCATTGCACTGTGGATAACAGTGTCCTCTGACAGCACACTCAAACATTAGACAGATTTAGCATGTGTATTGTCTGGTTTGAGTACACTTAATATGGATTTGGGGCAAAGCTGGCAGTTTGAATACAAAGAGTTTCTTCTGGAATCGGTTGCAGCCTTGATGAAAAACGAACGTATCGCTCTAGCGACTGTCAGTCACATGCCAGCATCCCCCGGTGATCGGTTTTGTCCTCTGACAGTTCATGGCAACAAGCCCCCAGCTGAGAGAGGCCTCCATCTGACACTCCTTCGAAGGAAAAGAGGAGAGAATGCGTAAAGGTTGCAGGTGTAGCGTCTGACACAAACAAGGCCAACAGGCAGAGAAATCTGTCATGCTGACTGGTGTCTGATCACATCACTTAACAATGAACTGCCGGCAAACTTTTTTTTGAAGTACAACTACTTGGGGAGATAATCATTGCGCCATCCGACACTGAAGTTCCAAATCATCCATCACCTCCCAATGTTACATTCTTGATGTAACAAAAAAAAAAAGCTGACTGCAGGCTAATAATCTTTCACTCCTTCTTGCATACCATGGAGCTGAGGTGAAAGCAATGGCCTTTTGCTGAATTACCTTCCCTTTAATCAATGACACTGCATTGGAAAAAATATCTCCAGGAGAATGGCCGGGCGAGTGTGTATCCATCATACAGATCCGCAATGGAGCTAATGGATGACCCAAATGCCTCAGTGTGTCAAGACTCATCTAACATTCATCAAAATGTTGAGACACTATAAAAAAAAAGGACAAATGTTTCAACACTAGAAGAATGAATTAACATATAATATATACATAATTCTGAAGCACAGCAGAGAGCAGGGATTTTACTTTGATAACGTTGTATACACATATTTGCCCTTCAGGGTAAAACGAGTTCATAAAGCTCGAGAAGTTAATCTACAGAAATTGCAGCCAAAATAATTCACAAGAAGCAAAAGTGTCTCTGAAGAATCCTGAGAATTAAAAGAAAGATGCTTTCAAGTTCAATCATCAGTTGTAATAACAGTGTTGGTTTGTATATATCTGTTATCTGTTGTATTACATGTCTGCCTGTCAAGGCAAAAAGTCCCCCCCCCCCACCAGGCCTTGTGTTAATATTGTGTTGTCTTGCTTTTTGTTGGTTGTTGTCATATACTGCTCCTTGTGTGTATTTTAACAGCTGTTGCTCTGTTTATGTCTCTATATTTTTCACTGCTTTTATCGTTGTGTTTTCAATGCTTTTATTCTTAACGTCTGCGCTTCTGTTGCCTGCCCAGGGACTTTGGATGAAAATTTGCCTCTGAGACTAACTCTGGCTTTTTCCTGAATCAAATAAAGTAATAAAATAAAATAAATTCTGCTGTAGGCAGAAGGGCAAAGGCTTCATTCAGACCCAACCAAGTCACACTGACAAGGAAAAATGGACCATGTCTGTCTGTTATAGCTCCAGTTTGATGCAAAAGATAAAAGTATGAATACGAAAAGACTAGTTGATCATTAAAAAATACAATGTTCATGTGACAAGGACAAACATGGTTCAAAAATGAAATGAAGTCTAATGTGTTGTTGATATATTCAGAGCCGTAGCCAGGTTTCTAGAAACACTGAGGTCTTGATGGGCACCTTCACCCTCTGGAATATTTCAATTTTCATTATTTCTATTTCTTCACACTACCAGTATAAAATTATGAGTAGAAACACATAAAAACAAATTTGTTGTAGATAAATATGTTGGTTAGAAATCATACACACACACACACACACACACACATACACACACACATACACATATATATACAGTACAATTCATTGGTATGGTGTATCAATAACATTTATGTGGTATAAAAAGGCAAAGTAATGTTGTTATAATAACGGATCATTGTAAATCATAATCCTTTGCTATGTAGTTAAACAGTAATTGGAAAAATACAGTGTGTCAATATGAAAGTAGAGACAGACCGACCAGGGAACTATGGGGACTTAGATAATGAACAATGTTTTTCATTTCTTATAGATAATTTGAATTTAGAATCCATTGAACGACCTCGATGAGAGGGTGGAGATTGTACCTGAGCATCCATGAGCAGGTGTCTCATCAGAGTCATGGACTTCCTCAGGGTGTCCCTCTCTCCGGGTATGAAGGCCACATCCTGGTCCGCCAGGCTGCAGGGTCTGGTCACCATGAACTGAGCAATCTGATCGTTCAGGCTGTTCAGAGACTGCACCGCTGCAAAAAAGAAATCAAGAGAGAGGTGGGTCAGCGAAAAGTCAAACCACACAAAAACACACAACTATCAGTTTTGGTTTGTGTTTCATTTCTATTCCCCTCATGAAGGCTGAGGAGCTCCCAGGCTTGTTGTTGGTGTTTTGTTTCCTCTCGCCCCATGTGGGATTTTCTGGATCAGACTTGTGTGATGTGAGACATTTCTTTTATCCACAGCTGGACTGTTTTCACTGCTCTGCCCTCAGAATAATCCCTCTTTTGGACAAGAGGGGCATCATTAGTCTAAATCCATTACAAAGACACATTCAGGACATTACAGTATATAATCCATTTCTTCATGCGGAGTCCCAGTCATATTTTCTGTTTGTGTTTTTCAGTTAGAGTCTATATCAACACAATATGGTGTTCAGAAATGTCTCAGAGTTTGCTAAGAGGTTTCCATTAAGCTCTTTGGTCAGAGCCGGTGGGTGGTAATGTAGAAAAGTCTGATCAATGCTGACAAAAATATACTCAAAGCAACAAAGAAGAGTCATAGAAATGTGTTTTGTCAGCGCAGTCAATCAAACAGGAAAATATGCATATATGCAGCTAATGTTGTTAACTAATTATGTTCATGTTTTTCAATCAGTAATTAAACAAGCAGCTACCAGCAAGAGGGCCGTTAATTATCCAAATGAAGTAAGGAAACCAAACATCATCCAAAAGCTCAGACCTTTATCTCGTGAGTGATTGATTCATTGAAAATGTAAAAACAGAGAGAACGCTCACTTTTACAGAAGTGTCCTGATTAGAGGGAAATATGAATATGTGAAAGAAGTAATGGTTGCATAAAGCTTTTAAAAAAAAGAGATAAAACTAAGAAAAACTAAAAAATAGCTAGAATATTCGACTAAATAGAAAGATGACACAAGTATCAATTAAAATATTTATGTTCATCTGGTGTATTTGAACTAGAGATTGCTACAATAGATCCAAAACCAAAATACATCTGAATTCTGGGGAAAAACATATACAATGATACAAGGTTGTCTATGTTGTCTTGGGGAAAATGCATTTGCAGCGGGGGTCAAATCCAACAAGACAACATCACCAATGACAACAACACACCATAAGAAAATAAAAAGAAAAGAGTGAAAACATTGAGCTGGTACAGGGAATGAAAGTTTAAGTGCTAAAAGTGTAGCTACACAAAATATAAATGTGCAAAGTACTAGGAATGGAAAACTGAAACCAAGTGTGCCAAAGTGCAGACGGGCAAATGTACAATGTATCGCAAGCAAAGTGCCATTAAACATTTGAATAGCCCTCAGATTAAAAGAGACGAAGCATATTAGTTCAACAGAGACCGTGAAACACGGACCTGAGCGCAGTGGACGATGTAGGATTCTAAATCATGGAGGTGCGGCCTCAAAAAGTTGCCTTTTGTTTAAATATGTCTCTCATCATCAATAAATAGACAGAAGGAGATCAAAGAGATTTATTATATGTTAGAGTGAGCAACAAAATAATCTTTCCAACGTTTAGTTTCTACTTTTGTCTGACACACACAATCAAACTAAAACTGATTTAATTTACATTTTTGATTTAAAGAAGATGCTCACATTTCAGAAGGAGGAAGCAACAAATAATAACTGCTGTTGAATGTAATTAATTAAATAAATCAATTGTGTTTCACAGCGCTGGTCTCCTCAGAGACAGAAACTGAATATTTTAAAGGATGTAAGAACACTGGCTCTAAGTCAATCACCACTTTCTCTCTCACGTACACCAGTGAGTGGCTAAGAGGTCAATTTGGGCAAAAGTGACAGAGCGAGCGAAGCGACATGTGACTCGCCAAGGTCGGCTTTTCAGCACAATGATCAAAGATTTATGGACACGCATTCCTGCGTTCTCTTGAACTGCAGGAGCGAGGCGAAAAGAGGCATGTTTACGAGCAGACAGCAGCACAGCAGTCAGCGTGGCATATATCAAATCAGTGCTGGGTAGATAGGGGAGGGGGGGGTGTTTACAACAGAGGTTGACGATTGGATTCTAATTTCACATCCAGCGTTTACAAGGTGTACCTCTGTGCCCCGGAGATGGGAGAAGACGTCGGGCAATGACACGCTGCTGCTGCAAAAGACATGCTGTCAAACTCTGAGCACAAACACACCCTCTCCTCCAGTTTCGATTTTTATTCATGCATTCTGTCACACTCTGTGATGCCTGATGGAGAAGACAGGTGGCTCAATGTAAAAGCAACGTGACTTTGACTGCTCTGAATGAATCACATCACAATCAAAAACTGCCAAAGCTCCTGGCCGAGGGCGACAAGCGCCAAACAGTGGTAACGGAAACCAGACACGATGTTGAATGTGAAGGTGCTGAACCTTTTGTAGTAACCGATGGATTCTCACTCGTGAAATTGCAAGAAGTTGTTAAAATTCCTCTCCAGGCTGCTGACATCCCTGATCAACATCTGACAGCAGATCAGGTCTGGAGGTGTGAATCTAAAGTCTTCACCACCACCTGACACAGCAATTAGTTTAGCAAACCATACAAGGGAAAATCAGCATGAAGACAATCGTACAGAGAAGACACCGGGACAGGACGGGATATAATGAGATGTAATAGCTTCGTGTGTTAAACACCCTAGAGTCCAGGGTCATTTTGGTCCTTTTTTGTGACATCCAATTAATTAAATTCTGTCTGTAATTTGCAGCTTCGCAAATCATGGCAGCAGATCACAAAACATAACAGTATTGACTAATGGAAAAGGTGTCAACAAGGCTCGTTTGCTGATTGGACAGATGCACTGTCTGTATTTTTAATGTTTAGTGATGTGTCGTTGACGTGCAAAGCCCTACATCCTTACTTTCATCTAAAAAATGTTTTATTTCTATAAATTCAAAGTGCATTTGGTCTTTTCACAGAAACATGTTGACGATCAGTGCATTGATTTGCAGTCATTAATCACTTGCTCACAGCATTGAAGGGTTAGATCCTTCATTCTGGGGCATTTTTCTAAATCACGACTATGCAGGATCTCCCATCGTACCTACTGATACAATATGAACGATTATTTAAATCAGAGGATTATTGTAGTCCTTTGTGAAACACACTCCCACTCACAGGTGGCCTGGTGCTTCTGGTGGCTGAGATGTGGACAGCTCATTACAATCTTTGTAACCACCCACAGGAGCAAAACAACATCAACAATGAACTCTAATGAGGCGTGTTGGTGTCTTGTCAGCCTTCAACGGTCCTGTGGAAAAAGAAAAAAGACGCTCCCCCATAAAAAGCAATATCCATTCCCATTTCTACATATGATCGCTGTTAATTTGTAATATCGTACAAAATATGATCAAGGGAGTTCTTCGTTTTTTTCTAACACATGCGGAATACAGCAAAATATGTTCAAATGAGTTCATTAAACTGTCCAACCAGAAAGTATGATGAGAAAAATATTACAATGACTCACTTTGAGGACTGACAGTTACAGAAAGATAATCACTGCAGCCGATCACCCTCTTCCAAGGCAATTTGAGGAAGTTCCAAGAACAACACTTTTCGAGCCCGAAAGGCCCGGGATCAAATGACAGGACAAGGAGCATCTGTGAGAATCCAAGGCAGGCACTGAGAGGAGGCTCGGCCACAGTTCAATTACAACAATGCCAGATACATATGCAACAGAGTATTGCTGAGGGACAAAAGCCGGCAACTGAGGGGGTATAACACAATCTCCTGCTCTCAGAACGAGAGTTAGCGACTGCCCATTTGAGGATTTGGAAAACATTCCGCTGTAAAGCCTACTACAAGTTTGTTCAAACGCAGGGATTTGGACAGATCAATTGTAGCTTAGCAAAGTTTGCTTCACATAGGAATGACTGAATCCCTGCGACAGCGTCAACACAGACTGTCATTTTTCTGTTTGCCTCATTGTTCTGCATCAGTATCTGCAGGAGGGTCACTTGCACTGTTTTCCATAAAGGAATAAATAAAAATCTATGAGGATAAAGTGTCTCTTAACCAAATTACAACATTTGCTCTAAAATGATTAGTTAAAAGCATCTAGTGAACTGCAAACATGTTCCAGGAATCAATTTATGTTTATCTTTATGTCTGTAACACACACACACACACACACATATAATTGACAGCTTCATACTTTATATTACACTCCACTGTCTCGCTCCCTCAACATCTCCTCTCTCTCTGGCTGGTGTCCACTCATTGCTGATGCAGAGCAGATGGAGGCTCTTGTTTGTGCAGAGCTTTGTCTGCCATTACGGGTAAAGCCAGTAATATAATGTGAACATGAAGTGCATAATTGTGAGAGTGGAGATTGACCTCACTGGAAAACAAACCGTGTGAGACATATACATCTCTTTGTGTGGCTGTGTTCCCTCCTGACTTAAGCAATAACAAATCACAGAATCTGCCCAGAATAGTGAAAGCGGGCTGATGCTGAGGCATCTGTCAGGAGGATCCCTTCCACTCTGTATTTCATTCTTATGTCCCACAATGCAACAGGCAGGTTGTGGCTCGTTTAGATAATAAACAATATCGGATTAGTTTCTGTATGAGTGAAACAAATGTTGATCAACTTAGTGTAAGCTTATTATTGGATCAATAAGTCTGTCGAGATTCTCATTGAATTGGCTGAGTGACTGGGTCAGTTGTCTCCAACAGTGTAGTCAAATTAGTCATTTAAAAGTTAAACTGGATAATGAAATAACTTTGCCAACAACTTTGTGAGGCAGCACGTTGAACACAAACATCTGTATGGTCAGTGTCAATCCTGCTATGCAAGAGTTTCAGTAGACGTGAAAATCTTATTTAAGTGTGCTGACTTTTTGTATTTATCTTATTTAGCTGAGGCTGAAGGTATTTTTTGTCATATACTAAAATACTGGTCAAATCAAACTTTTGACCTGATGATGGTGCCACATGGAATGTTAACTGACAACATCTCTGAAGGGAACATTTATGTCTGCACTCAAATTCATTGGAATCCATCCAGT